AGACATGCTTGGTGAGCAGCCAATATTGATGAGAGAGCTAGCAAAACTACAAGAGCAAAATAAAACCTTCACCACAGATCGAGTGTTTTTCATCCCGGAGGAGTTTGACAGTGATGTCACATGGGATGGAGCACGCATCTTGACCTTTGGTCTGCCTGAAAGCTTTTTGGTCTTTGACAGGCGAGTCAGAGAGTTCCTCTCTTACAGTCTCTGATTGGTTTAAATGGTGGATGGTACTTTCAGTCTAGAGGTAAACAGAAGAATACTGTTTGATCAGATAGCACACAGACTGCCTGCAAACAGAAAAACACTGGAACTTTTTGCCTTCATTTTTTTTATTTTAGATTAAAGTGACTGATCAGTCATTGGTTATGCTCTGTAACATTAAATCCTACTGAAATGCAACAAGAAATTTGAGCATCTTTTTTTTCTTTTTAATCTATAAAATTCAAAAAAAGCTATTTACTGATGAGACATACATTATTATGCTTTAGTTAAGTTTATTGGGGGAAAAAATGGTTGGTTTGAGGACATAAAAGTGAATAAGATTGAGAAGAAACAGCAAAGCATAGGGGCATAAAATGGCTAAGAAGCAAATTAATCTGGAGTTTACTGGGATAAATGGTAACTGGGACACAGATTTTGTTTATATTTATATGATAATTATATTAGACAAATTTTAAATTTCTGAGAATGTCAAAAGCACAATTTCCTTTGACCTTAATACAAATATCTTAGATTAAAATATTGGGGTGGGGGAGGGGATTCAGGGATAAAGTTTTGACAAAACATCCTTCATAATTAAAACTGTGTTTATCTCAATAAAATATAAAATGGGTTTTCTAACTTTCTATTTTCTTTATAGGATATAAAAGCTTTCTTCAAACAATGACAAATGCAAACAGAATAAAGTAGCTTTTTTGGCTTCTCGCTGACAGCTTATGGGTTTTGCATTACTCTGCCTTATAAATCCTGATAAATGTTTCCTAATACAGAAATGCAAAAAAGATTAACAATTTCCAACATGCATATACATACTGTGGAGGAAACCAGCTGAGGCAGGAGCAGCAGGAGGACAGTTGTTTTCCACATCATCCCAGTCCAACTGTGATTATTTCCTCACGAAGCGAGGGGGCTGAGCGCTTCCCACCAGCTTCTTCATTTATACCCATTTTTTTTTTTTTTTCAAAAAGCTGTCCACATCTACTGACTGTATTCCAAACCCCTTTTCACTTTCTCCTCAGTTCCTCTCACACGTGACAGTGGGAGTGACTGGTTGATGCTACTCCCACTTTCTTATAAACTCCTATTACATCAGACGAGTTAAAGACGGGTGTTAATGAAAATCTGATTACGTTTCCCAGAAGGAGCTGAATGTGCAGATTTTTAGTTTCGTGTTGGAGTTATTACTTTCCAATGTGGTGTGTCTCTTAACCAGGCATTTTTGTAATAAAGGTTACATCCTGCTACCAGCATGAGAAACAGATGTGGGGAGAAAAAAAAAATGTGCAGCTTGTTTTATTGAACCCCCAGTCTCGGCTTGTGTCGCTGCGTGGGAGCTGCAGCTGAAGGTAGGGTGCAAACAGGGCAGGGTGTTTGTTACTTGTGCTCATGTTTCCTCCAACCCTGAGCACTTAGACAAAAGTCTCCTATAGAGCGAGACCAATTATTCCAGTAAACTGGGCATTTAAGCAGTGAAGAAAGTGAAAAAGCAAAAGAACAGCTGAAAATGCCACGAAGAGTCCAGCTGGAGTCTGTCGCTTCCTTGGAAAAAGTTGCTGAGAGTGCCAATGGAAAGGATCACTGCTGTTCCAGGCCTCTGTGAGTCTGCAGCCCTGGGAGGAATGTGGAAAAAGCATGGCTCTGTTGCCTCAGGGACCCCACATCTGTGCAATTTTACATGCTGCTCATGTCAATAATGGGTGAACTCATGAAGATCAAGGGAATAAATAAAGGCCTAATAAGGAGGATCTAAGCTATTTCAGGAACCATGCTTATTATTACAGACTGTTACATTTTTTGTGATTTAATGTTTAGAACAGCTAAATAAACATTAAAAAAAAAAAAAAAACACAGTGCCTCTGCATGACAAAGTGTACAAAATGAAAAGATGCTAGTGATAGCGAGACTAACTCCCGTTTGCTACCAGTGGTACATTTGTGCATACTTACTTTTATTAGGTATGTGGCTTAGGAAGTAGTAATATTTATCTCTATCCAAATTTGTGACAATAATGCAAAATATCCTTTCTGGTTTCAAATATTCTCAAACTGTATGTGTTATGAAGCAAATTGGTTGAGCATCACGTAAAGTTTGGGGCCAATCAACAAATGTATAAAAAGCTGTAGAAATGTTTTTAAAAATCACTGTTGATTTACTGTTTCTAATTTTATGGAAGTGCAGTAGAGTCTGAAAATGTGGGTGTCCATGTTTGCCCCCCCCCCCCTGGATGGGGGGGGGGGTGCAAAATAAAAATAAAAATAATTTTCTGTAAGTAACACTCCCGCTTGCTGTCAAGAATATAAAGGCTATTGTAAGTATTTTTACTTTTTAAGCAGGTTAAAATGGGGTCAATTTTTACCCACCCCATAATTCTGATGATTTTCTCAAAGTTGATATGTTGATTTATTCAAATCTTTACCATATATGACAATTTTCTCAAATTAATGTTAAACAATTTGCTACTGCTATCTTTATTTGGTGTGAGAAGGCAACTCACACTAATGTTGTTGCTGTTTGAAAAAGCAGCTTAAAAACTAAGAAGAATGAAGGAATCAATGAAAATGAAAATAAAGAAGTACGATTAGAGAGCAGTGGTTATGAGTATTAAGCTGCTCACAAAACTTTTGTCTTGGTTTACTTTCAACTTTTATTCAGTGGGCAAATTTTTGATTGAAAAGAACACAAAGACAGAATAGAAGAGCAACATTTACATTTCTAACAGCTCTCATCTTTTTATAGTGAATAAAGGACTAACTAAAAATAAAAGAAGAAATTAATGTAAAAAAGGAGGCACTGCCACCTGTTGTTCACAGGAGTGTTTCACAATAATATTTCTTATCAAAGTGTTGCTAAATTTCTGTTCTAGATGTAACCTATGTCTATATTTAAAAATACTATTCTTCCCAGCTGGATGTGTGGTTATGTGAAATATGTTTATAAAATGGGATTGCTAAGATATAATCACTTTACACAGAGTTTAGGAATGAATGTGAACACTGACTCAAAACTCCTGGCTTGCAATTCACACAGCCTACAAAAAGCATGTTTTACTGTTTAAATGTAGTGAAACATGCTTTATTATTTTGTATTTTGACAAAATAATCTCTTCGTTCCAGTTTAAAAAAAAGAAAGAAAGAAAGTCTATGCAGGTGATTACAAACAGAAAATATGATACATATGTCAGGTTTGATAATGTGCAGAGCAAAGCATCTTGCTTCCCTGACAATGAGCCGGGAAGGTTTCTGTGGACCTTTTCTTCAACTTCAATGTTTTCTTGAAACAAGGAAGTGAGTAATAACAGATCAGTCAGACTCTGATGGCTCTTTGACACAATGTTTTAGTCTTCTCTTTTTGTAGAGGGGACAATTTACCAGTGTTTCACACTGTCTTGTTGTTTTTAATTGTTTTCTTTTCCACCTCAAGAACTTCAACAGATACCAGTGCGACAAAAACCTCTCGACCGCTTAACTTAACCATCAGAGGTCCTTAAATCGGTCCTGGAGAGCCGGCGTCCTGCATGTTTTACTTCTCTCCTTAGTGACAACCCTTTCAGAATGTCAATGTTCTTCTTGGGTCTCTAACGAGCCATCATTTCATCCAGGTGTGTTAAATCAGGGAGAGAACTAAAACATGCAGGATGCCGGCCCTCAAGGACCGACTTTGGGGACCCCTGATTTATTCAAATGTGAATTTAAATATTTTGAAATGAAGCAGAAATGAATTTTCTAAAGGCATAATAGTACCCAAAAATTGTACTAAAGAAAGAGTAGCACCACTTTAACACATTTTTACTCAAGAAATTACTAAAAGTAAAGTACAGGGTAGTAAAAATACTCCTAAAAGTACATTATATCAAAAAAAGTTACTCAAGTAAATGTAACTGAGTAAATGTAACTAGCTACTTACACTAGGAATAAAATATATCCCTGAATAATAACACTTTTGGGACTTCATACTTTTGGCCGTCAGTATAGCAGCAGCTGAATTGTGGGCTCGTTGCTGCGTGTTTTCCACCAGGGGGCGCTACACTGCGGCTTGAGCCTGCACGGGACAAACAGGCTCCGACTGGGTTGGCCTCATCATGGGGCGGATGTTTTCTCGGCGCAACTTCCCAATTCCCCTACCCAACCCCCCAAAAATACACAAGACCCTCCAGACTGAGAGTCGGGAAAAAGAAGGACTTAATGTGGCCCTTCTATAAGATTATCTCATCTTTGATGAGATAATCTGAGGTTGTTGCAGTACTTCACTCTCTACCTCTTGCCCACACTAGAAAAAACGAGTGGAAAATATTAACTAAATACAGAGTAAATGTGATTATTCCGTTTTCCGCCAGCTCCAGTTCGTAAGTGTAACTAAACTCCTGGTTTTCTTGAAGTTTTCACCAGTGATGGTTTACATATCTGTCTTGAGTGTGAAATATTTGCCCTGCGACTGCGGCAGCTTTAAACCCAGCAACCCCGCCCCTCCGCACTATCACATGAATCTGGACTGAATGCTGGATGGGAAAAGTTTCGAGGTCTCGGTGAAATCGCTCTTCCCCGGCCAGCTCGCCGTGCGTGCGCCCTGCCTCGCCTTTTAAAGGGTTTTTACTCCACTGTCCGTGTCGGAGGAAACGGAGTCGGCTTGAGTGTTTTCCAGACTGGGACTTCTTTTTCTCCCTGCAGAAATACACGGGGGAGGAGAAGGAGGAGGAGGAGTGGGGACGCTCTGGCTCTTGAGGTATGTGGGAGGCATGTTGTGCTCTGCCGAGATTGATTTTTGTCCGCGATCTTGGCTTAAATGACACCATTTTGACCACGTTACCTGACGCTTGATGTTTTTCCTGTTGCTAAATACCTTGGAGAAGTTCGAGCTTCAAACACCGAGGCAGCGACACAAAAAGTTCAAATGGGGTGGGGGTTTAAAAGAAGACGGAGGGGGATCTGAAAGTGTAAACAAATCTGATCGTAACTGTTGCACACAGGCGCATCCAAAAACCCTCTTTTTCTTGGCATTCTGCGTTTTACTCTTCGTTTGTTTTACATGAGCCAACTTTTTCTATAGATACGTTTCGATTCCAAACTTTGGGCGACATGGACGCGCACCGCGGCGCGCCTCCGGCGGGGCAGCAGATCGTGCACGTCCGCGGGGACTCCAAGACGGAACTGGAGGCCCTCTTCAACGCCGTGATGAACCCCAGCAAGGCGACCAGGCAGCAGTCCGTGCCCATGAGGATGAGGAAGTTTCCGGACTCTTTCTTCAAGCCTCCGGAGCCCAGGGGCCACTCCAGACAAGTAATATCACTGCAAACTGCTTCACTCTGCAGGATGTTTATTGTTGCATAAAACCCACCAATATTTAGTGAATGGCTTTAGAAATTGAGCAAGAAAACACACATTTGCGTGCAGCTTCTGAAATGGAGTAGGCGATAATCACGATATAACAATGAGTGAAGTACCGCGGTTTGACGATATTTGCACAAACAAATTAAAACCAATATACATAATCAGATTTTTATTTTATTTTTTCCCATTTTTCAAAACAAAACAAAAAACATCCTCACTGTTTGTTTCTTGGAACATTTATTTGTTTTATTTGTTTATACATTGTAGCATTAACACCCACTTAATTGACTTGTGATTTTGCAGGAATACACAGAGGAGGAGACGCTGTGCAGAAATTATTCATTTTTCATTGTTGGGGTTTTTAGAGAGTATAACCTAATAGTATTTTCTTAAGTAGTCAGGCTATCTGCTCTGCATATGAGTCATCCCAAATAAGTGTTTATTATTATTAATAATAATAATACAAAAAGCACCTAGATGTTCACAAATCAATTTTTTTAAGTGCCATGTGTACCTCTGTTTTGATGAGATATAAATAAATAGCTAATTCACTCAAAGGTTAAAATGTCCAAGACTGGGTTTTTATGGATATGGATGGGTAGAGGATCGCTATAAATACATGAATATACATATAGATATCAATTTATGGGTGTATATAGATGAAGGAAAAACTTTCAGATTCACTGTTGTTCTTCAGTTTTTACGGGGCGGTCTAGAGAGTTCATTCACAGATTTTTCTGAGGAAGCAAAGATCAAACCTAAATAATCGGTTTAGTGTTGGTGCTATCATATACCTTGGACTTAATCAGCAAACTTGTGAATGATTCCCACTAAAAGCAGCTCAAGTAACTACCAGTGGTACTTTTGCTGCAGCAGAAGAATTATGGACTTAAGGATTATAGCTTTAGACCTTTAAAAAAAAATTGCTGAATGTATTTGCAGAAATCTTTTGGTCACAGTTCACTTATGCCAACTTGGTTCCTTCTAATTTTATTCATTTAAATTTTTTATTTATTTTGTATTAGCTTGTTGCCATGTATGACAGTGAGGAATCAAACAAGACTAATTGTCACTGACTCTTTTTAGATCCGGAGCTTCATAATTATTTTCTCTGGCCTGTGTAGCTGCGTGGACAGTATAAACCAGGGGTCCCCAAAGTCGGTCTCAAGGGCCAGCATCCTGCATGTTTTAGTTCTCTCCCTGATTTAACTCACCTGGATCAAATGATGGCTCGCTAGAGGCCTAAGAAGAACATTGACATTCTGAAAGGGTTGTCACTACCACCAAGGAGAGAACTTAAACATGCAGGATGCCGGCCCTCGAGGACCCCTGGTTTAAACCATCAGAATGTTCTACATACATTTTACTGCTGTAAAATTGATCACAATGCATTAAAAGCAAGGCACAAACGATCTAAGGTGGTAAAGAATACACAGATGCTATAATACTCAAACTCATTGTGCATCCCTGCAGGGCTACAAGAATCAACGTCTCTGCTGAATTCATTTCAAGTTGCATTTTCTTAATTTGATACAGGCTATTGCACTCAGAACTACAACCACGAAAGGTCACTCAGTTTTGCCATTATCAGACCTCTTCATGTTGCGTTTTTGTAGCTGATTTTGTCGTCTCCCTGTCATTTACGGTCCAGTTGTGGGAAAATCTTAAGCAAACACAAGAAGGTACAGAAAATGACAAACAGAACTTCACCAGCTGTGAATGAGTGCAATTGTTACTTGAATTGTTTATGACATTTAACACATGTAAGAGATTCATTTTAGAAAATGTGAACCCTAAATATCAGATTGTAGGATGTTGCGGCTAGTGTTTTGTCACTCTTAAAAAAAACATTGAAGTCATTACAGAGGGGATGCTTAACCTGCATTAACTCCTCTTAAAATTCAAATAATTTGTACATTAAAAAATCATAAATTATTCAACATATTTTTATAATTTTGTTGTGACAGAAATCCAGCTCAGCTTAACAGAAAATCAAGCCAATCAGTAATGGACTTTATTACATACCTGCTACCATTTAAAGTTGATTTGTTTTAAGCAGAAGTAAATTTCTGCTACTGTAGAAGGATTTTAATAGCGTTTGCTCATTTGCATCCTGCAAGACTGAAGTCTGCAGAGAGGGAACAACGGATCAAAAGATCTTGTTGCACAAATGTGTCAGTCAGAAACACAATCCCACATTATGAATTCACACCATGGCACAGTGACAACATGCTTAAAGACAATATGAGACAAGAGTGAAATCACAACTGATGGAAAGATGGAACAAAAACCTTTCAGAAACAATGCAGTGATGAAAGAGCTGCAGGAGTTTCTGCTCGATGTGCTTCACACATGTGTGTCCTTTATTGGATAAGTGTCAGATGAAAGATACACTTGTAAGACAGAAGTCTTTTCTTCCAAAGAAAACATCCAAACTTTACTGAAGTCTTCCAAAGACTTAGTCATTTGTGGTCTAATGAAACCAAACTTGAATTTTGATCCACAATTCCAAAGAAAACAACAGTGAAGCATAAACATGGTAGTGGCAGCATCATGCTCTGGGATTACTTCTAAGGTGACATCTTTTTGTAACTAAAAATTTGACTTTGTTTTCCTTTGTTTAGCTCATCAACTAAAAAAGATATGTCCTCGTAAGCTAGATTAGTTGGAAACATTTTTCAAGCAGAAGAGGTAAATATTGAAAACTGAAGCTGAGAGATGCTGATGGATTCTTGCCAATTAAAACTAAATGTCAAACTTGACCAAAAGCTGCTTAGGTTTTGGGTTAAGCTTGTGTACACTTATGCAAATAGGTCAATACAGCTTATTTGTTTTTTGGTTGAATTATGGAGGATAAATGCCACGTTAAAGGAGGAAAAAAGTTTTGAAATGTTGCATCACAAAATCCTGCAATTTTCCAGTGTACATTTTTTGCAAAAAACCTTTTTGGGAGTGAGACCAGTGTGAGAAGCAAGTCTTTTTACAGTCTAGGTTCCATTACCCATTTGATCTTGTTCTGTTTTTGCTCTCAGTCTATGTCTCGGATTGCCGTTTGTCACTCCGCTGCAGACCTGCTAACCCTGCTCCTTTCTCGTCAGGCCAGTTCAGACGGAGGCGTGTGCGGCTCCCTCGCCCCTCATCACGTCCGCGCTCATTCCTCCCCGGCCTCCCTCCCAGTCAACTCCCTCTCTGCTCAAGCAGACGCAGATGCAGCGACCACACCAATCATACCCGATGATGTGCCACTCCCCGAGGGTTGGGAGATGGCCAAGACGTCCACTGGCCAACGTTACTTCATCAAGTAAGGGTTTCCTCCAGCTTTATCACTGGGTTGCACCTCTGGCTCTGCAGGTTTTCTTTAAAAGGGGTTTCTGTGCCGGATGACAGTTTCCCAAAGCAGGTTGAGCAAGACAGATTCTGAATCAGCAGATTTTGGAACTGGAAAGTGGCATCTTTGATATTTTAGGCTGATGGATGTCCCAAACGATCATTCCAGCTCTGATATGATTAAAAAAAAAGTTGTTTTTTGCCACACAAGATGTTCTTATTTTTCTAAAAGTAAAGTGCCAGAGTTGTACACAGGATTAAAACTCATGCAAACAGGAAACAGTTGAACCAGTTCTGTGGCCTGTTGGGTTTCACCTTCATGACAGCAGGTTTCCTGCTCTGAGAAAAGCCTGAGATTGTCTCGAGGAGCATAGATGTGCAAGCACATCTGGTCATACAGGTAAAGCGAGTCTGAGGGAGAACGCTCCTCGCCCTTCAGGTTACTGCGGTTTAATAGATGCATCGCTTGCTGTGTGTGCGTGTGTTTTTTCTTCAGCCACGTGCACAGGACCACCACATGGCAGGACCCCCGCCTCTCGCAGCTTCAGTCAGCTGCAGCCCAGCATCAGATCGCCTGCACCCCAAGCCACGCCCACTCCTTCAGCAACCCAGCCCCCACTACGCAACCAAAAAATATTATTCCTGAGACAGGTATCACGCTGCAGTGCTGTACCCTTTTTGTTGTCATCTGTCTTCCTCTGACCTGGAGTGTGTTGGGTGTTGTTCCTTTGGGATTCTCTTTGGGTTGCTTATACTAATGCCTCTGCTTTGAAAAATGATCAGGCTTAATATGTGAACCCACATCATGGTGCAATTTAAAAAGAATCATGCAGGTTCTATAAGTCTTTTTTTTTCATTATTAGCTTGAGATAAATGTCTAAAGGGTCAGTTTACCCAAATTGTATTTCTTTAAATGAGAGAATCAACCACATGATGTGATGATGCAACACATGATCATTAAGATCTTTAAAAACTTTTTCTAACTGGCTTTTGCTTTCAACTTTCAGTTGTCATCCACCTGCTTATTCAGCATTATCTGACCCATATTGGTTTTAAGTGTTACTGACAAACCTTCTCTCTGAGGAAAACCTGCTTGCAGAAGCTGTTTGAAAGCTTTGTTGGGCTTCACCCATCAAAATATTACATTGTGCAGGAAATGATATGTATGTCCAGATCAGTATTCATTGGCCCTGAAACCGATTAGTCAATTAAGATGAGTTGTTTACTAAACTCAGTAGTTTCAAATCATATCACATTTCATCAATATTAAACTTTATGTTTGCTTAGCAGTGCAGCAACTGCGTCCCTATTTTAAAGAGTAATACATTTGTTTTTGCTAAAATAAAAATGATAAAACAGGGAAGCAAGGTTAAAACACCTTGTGACATAATTTGGTGTTCATGTTAATTACTATAATATCTGCCTTCCACTTATTAACTCGCTCTCCAATGATGTTCAGGATGTTTCAGAATCTATTTTTCTCGATAATAATGTATATCTATTCTCAGATTGATAATAGCGTATATTTATCCTCAGACTGAACATCACTGGAGAAATAGTTCATGTTTCTCTAAGACCAACTTTACTCAGTTAAAATGGGCTTGGTTTCCCAATTTGTTAATCAGACTCAACACTTTCCACTACTTTCATCAATAAATCAATGAATTGAAGTTTTAGGCTAAATCTAGCATGTTTACTGCATGCTTTGATAGGACTTGTTGATAAATCTACCAGTAACCTGTGCCAAACTTTAACCTACTGCCCTTTTAATTATTGTTTTTTGCACCTTATATTTTGCAGTTTGCATGGTACTGGCAGACAGCTAGTATTCTCTCTTCTTTACAGTCAGTGTAGTTTTACATGGTGCATGTATAAAGTCTTAATTCAGATGTTTGGCAGACACCAATCTTTGTTTTTTTTATTATTACTTTCATTTATTCTGAGTTGTTTTGTTTTTTTCAGTTATGATTAGTTCCATCAACATTTTCCACCATACTTGTTTAGTCCTTTGTTTACATCTGACCTTGGTACTTGCCGACTCCTCCCAATAAAATTGCTATGTTTGTCACACCTCAATGACTTAAAAGTTGGATGAAATGTGACATGACCGTTCAAGTTGGTTGCACCTACATCAGATAAGAGTCCAGTTTGGGAGCTTGTATGTAAGCGACCTGGGTGTGATATTGAGAAACAAATTGATTTGTGCTAAAAAATAATCAGATACCAGTAATGCATTGATACAGAAGTTGGATTTGCGCCACTTTTGTCTGCTGTGTGAACATTTGGTCATTCACACCCAGATTTGTTTGATCAACAGCGAAATGTGCAAAGCCTGTAAAACAGCTTTACAAACCATGCACATGATAAAAAGCAGTGATTTTAAAATATCAACATAAATTTAAAAAGTTTCAGTCACATACATTTTTGAAACGTTAATTACTTACTTACTGTAGTTACTATTTGATTGAGTGCTGGAAAAAAGTCGAGGCAATGTTGGGGTTTTATTTGCCACGGGTTTCCTGTGAAAAAGTAAAAGAATCAATCATCTTCTCCTTTTGTCACGAGTGCCTCATTTGAATGTTTCTATTAAGAAGTAACCTGTGGATGTTTTCATCCACAAAGATGTTAATCTCAAAGCAGATCAAACTAAAATCATTGATTTGTGGGGATGAGAATCTGTCTCGTATTGTGACACTCAGAGGACTTACTGTGCTAAATACAAGATCATCACTGCAAATATTGTAATATTTGTTTGTCTGAGAACATCAATTGAATGTTTCAAGGAATTTTTGTCTTTATTAGGTGACAATCTACTTTGTTTTGAACACATATGTAACTTCACACTCAAGATTATTTATACATTTTCCTTGTGCATTTGTTTTTGTTCTAAAATAAAAAAAGAAATATGGTTCTTTAATTTAAGCATTAAGCAAATAAAATGTAGGTTTTGTGGATTTTAATTAATTTTTTTTTTTAGGTTGGAGCATAAGAAAGAACGTCTTTGTATTGTAACAGTGCTGATCAAAGTTCACAGAGTTGAATGAGAAGGTTTACACTTTTTTCCAATGTAACCCCTAGTTTTTAAACTTTATCTTGGCCCAACTGACTCAATGAATCAATCAATCAAATTTTATTTGCATAGCACATTTCAGCAGCAAGGCATTTCAAAGTGCTTTACATCATAAACACAAAGTTATGCATCATAAAATAAACAATACATTGTTACATATTACATTTCAAATACAATTCTAAACAGGTGTGTTTTTAGTTGAGATTTAAAGGAAGTCAGGGTTTCTGTTGTTTTACAGTTTTCTGGAAGTTTGTTCCAGATTTTTGGTGCATAGATGCTGAAAGCTGCTTCTCCTCTCTTGGTTCTGGTTCTGGGGATGCAGAGCAGACCAGAACCAGAAGACCTGAGAGGTCTGGAAGGTTGATACAACAACAGCAGATCTTTGATGTATTGTGGTGCTAAACCGTTCAGTGATTTATAAACTAACAACAGTATTTTAAAATCTATTCTTTGAGCTACAGGGAGCCAGTGGAGGGACTTTAAAACTGGTGTTATGTGCTCTATCTTCCTGGTTCTAGTGTGAACGCGAGCAGCAGCGTTCTGGATCAGCTGCAGCTGTTTGATTGATTTGTTGGACAGGCCTGTGAAGATGCTGTTGCAATAATCAATGCGACTAAAGACAAACGCATGAATGAGTTTCTCTAGATCTGGCTGAGACATTAGTCCTCTAATCCTGGAGATGTTCTTCAGGTGATAGAAGGCCGACTCTTTACTATCTAATGAATCAAATATTGCTTTCAGTATGCCGTATGAACAAACTGAATGTACAATGGACTACAGGACATTACCCAGATCCTCAACAATGGCAAAGCCATAATCAGATTAATTTTTTTTAGCTTATTTTGTAAATGGTCCCAGCATTGGAGACATTGTTTCTTCTGAGAGGTATCTTAAAATTTTTATAGTGTGATTTGAGTGAGCAGACCCTTTAAGGATGGATGTTCATATGCACACACACTGAGGTTAGGCAAAATGCACATACAGTTGTTTTATTTTTTTTAATTGTAAATAAAATAAAGCAATGATTCATTTCTCTTCCTAAAATCTGCAAACTACAAACTTTCCTCTCAACACTCCATTGGCTCCATCAACCATTTGCCTTCTCACTCTGTACTTTTACTGCTGTTCAGGTCCACTGCCTGAAGGCTGGGAGCAGGCTGTGACTGCAGATGGAGAGATGTACTACATTGATCACATAAATCAGGCCACCACATGGGACGACCCGCGTCTAGGTAGCACACTATAACAGATTTTGTGCCTCCTGAGTTGACAATTGTCAATGAGAAACATTGTGTTCCAATGTGCGCTATTAGGACTGCTCAATGTTTGGCAACAAGACAGCAAAAAAGAAGGATCTCAAAGTGTTGGACACTCTATATTTCATGAATTGATTCACTCTATGATTCATGTTTCATTTCAAAGAAGTTCATGCTTATATTTTTAATGTGTTTTATTTATTTTTTTTGTGGTCTAGCCCCAAAGGTGAATCCAGCCATTCTCACTTTGGCAATGCAGCAAAGACTTGAAAAGCTCAGACTGAAGCAGGGCATCCCTCCACAATTTGTCCCACAGGTCAGAGAGAATACCAAGCTGGAGCGAGTCGTTCCAAAAATATCCAATGTTATCCTTAACTTCTGCTTTCTTTAAAGTTAAATGAAATTAAGCATACACGCATTCAGGTGCAGGAGGCGGGAGGGAGCAACCAGATGCCCGGTGGGATGGACCATGACAGAAGCACACAGATGCTTGTCCCATCAGTGGATATCAGGATCAGGGCCCTAAACCAAGAGCCTAACCTTAATGGGTACGTCTTTACTAGCAAAATACTACAATTTACAGTTAATAATGTGCCAGTAGATTTGTAAATGTATCTTTATTCATGGCCCTAAATTGCATTTACTAGCAAAGGAATAAAAATTAGCAGATAGCTTGAATCTGTTGGATTCTGTGTTGTTGCTCAAAAAGGTTCCCAAAACGCTTTCTGAAGCAATCAGGCTTGTCCAATCTGTTGCCAGACAGTACATAATGAATTGGTAAAAGACCAGGACCAGAGGTCAAAAAATGGATTTACTCAAATAACACTGTATGTAGCATTCAGTCAGGTGTCACTGTGTCTTACAGTGAGTACTTCGATGCTTGAATTTTGAAACTACTTGAAGTGCCAAAAATTGAAATCCCAAAAAGGAAGCTGAGTGCAGAATTCAATATGGAAGCCATGCATTAGAAAATATATGAAGTTCCCAAATTAAAATGAATAACCTCACTTCTGATGGGAAGCATTTGGGAATATCTTCATTTGGTGTCTCAATGCAGAAAATGCTGATAATTGGTTTGCTTTGGCTTTTTTTTTCCCACAGTAGTTTTTAGTCTGTCACTCAGAACAACAATTAGAAAAACCCATGGAGTTTCCCACCTTACAGCTGGAATGTTGTATTGTTGTCTGTTACATGATTCCCTGATCCAGGTTGAAACTTCTGGTAAATGTGACACAGCATCAGAGTAACTTCAAAGAAACTAAATACAAATTTCATACTGGCTTTCGACAACACATTTATACTCTTTCATACATTTCCGTAATTATGCTGACCGAAATAATTCTTCTCTAAGTGCAAAAGGTGGCCAGACCTGAAAGAAAAATATTATTTTAGAACTGCAGATAATTATTTATTTCTTACTCAGGGCTCACTCTCGCAATGAAAGCACTGACAGTGGTCTGAGTGTCAGCAGCTTATCACGCACGTCGGACCACATGTTGAGCTCTGTGGATCACATGGACACTGGTATTGTTCCTTTATTAACTACCAATCCAAACTCATTGCATTTTTCTACGTATCTTTCTTCTTATTTGTTCTTTTCTTAAAGCTCCAGTGTGTATTTTTTTTAATAAAGAATGTTTTTTTACCCATTTGTTGAATCTATCACCATTTCATGGCAGTATGTCATGTGACAAGTAACCTTAGATTAAAAAAAAGCAACCTATAAGAGCCAGGAGGAGGGTCCTCATTTACTTGCTCCTAAATGTACTAATGGCCAAGAAACAACTTACTGTTGCAGAAAAACTGTTTACCACCATCATCAGGGGCTCTGCTAACTAGCCTTAGTATTCACAACAGGCTCAGCTAGCTGTAGCATTGCTAACTAGCCTTAACATTCCCAACAGGCTCAGCTAGCTGTAGCATAGCTAACTAGCCTTAACATTCTCAACAAATCACACACGATTGCAATTGACGCCAAGACCCTTGTCTGTCTAACAATAGAGACAGTTCCAACAAATATGTTAGAAAAATATTTTTTATAAAAGTTACATATTGCAGCTTTAAGACATTACCATTTTTTAAATATATAGATGGACTTAGTTTGTTAAACTTCTGTACCCAAATTAATTATTTCACCTTAAAAAGATGTATAAAGTAGCTTAAATAATCTGTATTTTTTTCATTAGAGTTCTACACAGCAACTTGAATAAAATACAACTGCATTGCTTTTTTTCTTTTTTTTTCAAAGTCTGGATTTCTTTTTATGTATTTTGCATGTCGTCTATGACTGTTGCTTGTTGGTAGAGACATTTCAGTAATCTAAAACTAATAGAAAACATTTAAGCATCCTGCTTGCATAATGGATGTGGACTGTCGGATGTAAAATTCATGAGCAGTAAGTATTGTGCTAGTACCAAAGAAAGCAAGGAAGTTGCAAGCCTTTAAAATTGCGATGCTTTTGATAGGTCAGAAACACTCAAAAAATTGTGTCGGCAGCCGATTTCAAACTGAAGTTAAATGTAACTAAATATCCTCTGAAATTAAAATTTTTGTCAGGGGGCCCAAGATTTCTGGCAGCACCCCTTCTTTTTAGTATGCATATATAAAATTTTTCAAACATTTGTAAATTGGTGCAATAAATGCATGTAAGTTGTCCAGGTTATTGTAAAAACTGGTTTATGAAGGAAAGTGAAATATTAATTTCGTTCTGTGCCTGTGATTTGTTCAGGTGACTCAAGTGACCCTCCATCAATGGGCCTGCAAGAGTCGATGCCTGTGCTGCCGATAAATGAGGACCTGATGCCCGGCATCCCCGACAGTTTGACTTCAGACATGTTGATGGAAATGGACACAGTTCTCTCCGGGCCGCACATGGACAGGGACAGCCTTCTCACCTGGCTATAGACGCAAGCAGCAGCCGCCGTCCGTTTGAGTGTGGTTTGAAATCAAGCTTTTGTAGCATGACTGAGAGTTCTGGAAAATTTGATTTGAATTTAAAAGTGGTACAGAACAGCTACTCAGAGAGAATTTGCTACAGATATATGTGATGGATATCTACTTACAGAATTCACTTCCTGCCGTGTGAAAAAACAAATGACTCTCACAAAAGCTGGAGCTTTTCTCTTTTCGGGTCTGGTTTTGCAAGTGCTCCTCTTCTTTTCATCCTGGTCCTCCATCCAAAGTCACACTTGCCTTAAGTGAGAGTCAAGTGTTCTTCGTTCATTGGTTTGAACACACAAGCCTGTCAGAAAAGCATTAATGTAACATAAATATTTTATTTAATAAAATAATAAAACATAACAAAAAGGTTTTAAGCTCCTAAATTAGCCAAGTGAATTGTGAAAGTTAAAAATAGCATTTCATGCTTCTACCTCTGAGCAACTTGTGATTTTATTACATGTACTCAGAGTTTTATTTTAAAAACAACTTTCAACAACATTTTTGGCGTAAAGTGAGCAAAGAATCAAAGGGTTTTTTAGGTAAAATGTACGCTAGTTTCAAAATCTCAGGGTATTTCTTATTAAAACGGAGGGAATGGTGCCCTCTTGTGGTGAGTCAGAAAATAACATTTCCTCCCTAAACCCACATCAGTTGCGCAAGCCGATCTCTCTGCCTGAATCAAGAAATCCAGCCGATTCTGAAGAATACTGCCAATATATTAGTTTTGAACATTAAATATGTCCTTTTAAAACTTTGAGACTTCAATATATAAGCAAATGAGCACATGATCAGGGTGAGGTCCAACTTAATGCAGGATTTCCACAGAAAACTGTAAGGACGATTCATCAGTTTCTTGTTTTGTGTTTCTTTTTGATTCTTAGATTTTCTTTTCTCATTAATGATTTGAAAAAAACTTTCAATAAAATCATATTGATATTGGCCAACAATATTTGGGTAATTTTAAAACTTAGTATTTTTTGTTTTGTTTATTCAAGTATTTTTATTGTAGACTTCTATTCCATGCACTGAACATGAGCTTCACATGTTCAATGCTGGGATTTCTAATGAACTCCACTGATAGTTGTTTCATTTTCATTCTGACAAACTCTTGCTTTAGAAAAAAAATCAGCTCTGGTTGCCGTCTGACCTGGGAAATATATGAGGAATGACATTCACAGCTTTAAGATTTATTCCATAACATTTTTATTGTAATACTGGATTGGAGCATTCCAAGTTCCATCTTCAGATTGAGCTGTATCAATTCAACGGGTCAATATGAAAGACATTCAAATAGTGACTCTTTTTTTTCATTTCATCAGCTTTAAAATGTATAAAATTATCACTTTCTCCTTGACTTCCAACATTTTAGATGCTAATTTTTCATGTATTTCTGAAAATCTGTTCCCTATACTGAATATTTCTTGATCCAGTATTTCTTTTTGATTCTGCTTTTCACTCAAATGTCATGGAGGTGAATTTTGTTGATGTCAAAGCATCAGAAAGTGAGATTCAAGTGTTTTGTGGAAAGAAATGTCTAACTGCCTTCAAATCCCAAACCTTCATAACTTTTTTATTTTTTAGATTTAGCTTTCTAAATATCACATTGATTTTTTGTGTGACTCTTATTTGTGTAAATACATTTAGAATTAAAGGATCCTTTTGAAGTGTTTTTAAACATGAAGTTGATGCCGTACATTTTTGTAATGCCATCAAATCTTCTTTTTTTAAAAAATGCTTTATCCCATGATTGGTTTTGAGGTTCAAGCTAGCTTATAGTGGAGAGAAAATGATGCCATTAAGATGCAACAGTTTGTTTGATCATGCAGGTGAATGCAGTGGTCAATTTTATGATTTATCCCTTTTTTCTTATTTTAAACATGAAATCAATTTTGATATATGTTTTTACTATTCAGCCTGTATCAATCCAAAACCCAGATGTAACAAATATTGGTGAGAATAGTTTTTGTTTTGTTTTTTTTATTAAACACCTTAAAGAGGTTTGGGATTCCTGGTAAAGGTGACATACAATTTGAAATGCTGCATTTTTAGAATATTTTATTCAAACTGCAAACATCAGGTCCAAGCTTTGGTAAAGGAGGGAGTTTTTAATTTCCCTTAAGTCAAGCCATGTGAAAATTATATCTGTTTTTATCTGCTTGGTTGTTTCTGCAGTGTGTTTAGAGTTGATCTGAGTATTAAGCTATAAATGACCAGATAAGACCATTGTTCCTGACCGACTTCTTTGTTTAATGTATATGCAGTTCTATAGCTGAAGACTTCATTCTGAAAATCCCACATAAGTAGCCGGTCTTGTTTTAGCAGCTCTCATTTAAAGTGCCGAACAGCTTAACAAGTGATTTATTGCACATCATCAAACACACTACCAAGTCTATTATTTATCTTGGCATGCATGACACTTACTATGTTCTGTATGTTACGTATAACAACATTTATTGTACTATTTACAAAGAGTTCTGAGTTTTTTTTTTTCTTTCTTGTTTATTTTTGCATGATTAATATAATTATAATCAAATTAAAGAAGTTTCTGTTTAATAAACTTTTAAATTACACCTGGATATTTTGCTTCCTGTTCTGATCATTTGTACGACCAAAAAGCACACGTGTTTATCTACCTGTAATGGCTTAGCTGAATTGGTAGGATTTATATTTGATTCCTGAAAATTCAGAGCATTAAAGCATCTCTGCTTTCCATAGTATTTTGTTTTTATTTCCCTTGTATTTGGGAAATAAAAAGACCAAGGGAAAATTCAATTTAAATAATAAAAAATAAATTTTAAAAAGGTAATTTTTTAAAATTTCTTTTTTTTTTCAGCCCACATACACTGGAATTTTCCCTCTTTCAAATTTCCAGTTCAACTTAGCATAAATTTTTAGGTTCAGCCGGGCTGGATTTGAACTGAACCCCCCACCCACCCACAAAAATACCCAGCTGATCAAATCCTGCTGTGGGTTTCGTCCCTGGAGTTTTCCTGAATCATACTCTTGTTTCTTTCTCCTTTGGATTTATGCAATTATTGTTGTCATTCTCAACACTTCTCTCTTTTAGCTCAAGTTTGCATATGGTTTTTAATTGAACTAACTTCTAACGCTTCTGTAGTAGACATTGAACTTTCCACATCATGATCCCACCATCGTGGCAGACTGTAGATAACCTCTTGATGATCTCATAAGATGTAAAATGAGCTCTGAAGGTTCTGTTTCATCAGAAAAGGAACCATGCCTCATGATCAGTCAAGTGCAACTTAATGAACTTGCTTCTTGGTGTCACATGTTTATGAGTGACACATGGTTTCTGTGGAGTTACAGTGTTTTAAGAGGATTGCTGTGTCTATATCAACCGCATCCCGTCAGTTTCTACTGATCAGATCATGGTTCTCAAAACTCTGTTTTGGGCCCACTTTTTTCTTCACAAAGTTTCTTATCTCTGTTATCTTGAGGACGGTAGCTATTCGACTTCTTCAAGGACTCAGAGTTCTTCAAACTGTCTAAATAATGCAATTTGAAAAAAAAAATTACAAACCATGCAGGGTCAGCCTGGTTGTTCTGAACGGCAACTAACTGGTTACGTGACATTTTTTGCAACAAGCTCAGACTGAAGGAATTTAGGTGCTTTTGTTAAGAGCACGTAATTGCTGTTAAAAACCCTTATCTTCCAGGGACTCTTGAAAATTACTCAAAACAGCTTATCCAGGATGGCTATTCACATTTTATTAAATATTTTTGAATTACGAACATTTTTGTTTCAGATAATTGAACAAACAGAAAAGCTCATATTGCTCCTGATTTGCTTCTCGTGGTTATTTTAGAATTTTTTTTAAAATCCTGACTACAGCTTTAATTTGCTTCTTCTAATTCAGTTTGGTTCACAACCTAAACTTGAGTGGGTCGCTCATTTTTTTGTTTTTATGTTATCTTAATTCTGGACTAATCTTAAAAGAGCAAGTGAAGACATGCTTTTTCAAATGATCTGTATAATCAATTTTTTTGAACAGTTTTTTTCCTGATCATTCTTTGTGATTTTTTTATCTGTAAATGGTGATAAATATTCATGTACTCAGCTATTACTCTGGCAGCCACTTTTTTTGCTTAATATTTCTGACGGGGATAGATTTATTGTTTATATCTCGTACTAAATACTGATAGAACCATGTTTTTACTTTAAACATTTTAACTGGTGAAACTGTGGATAATCCACTGACTGCAGCCTGCAGTTCAGGGCGCTGACTGCGGCAAAACAGACAGGAAGTCCCCAAAAGTCAAAATGTGAAGTGGAAAAGTCAGAAATGACATCAAATCAAATAAAGTATTGTCACCAGAAGCCAAGCTACGTTTCCCCAGAGACGTGTATTGCTTTCCTCTTTTTTTTTTTTTTTTTTTTTTTTTTTTAGATTGGGGCGTGGCTAAATAGGGTAAAAAGAGACGTGAAAATTCAAATCTACTTTTGTTCCAGCGAGCACCGAGCAGATGTAAGTAACTTCGTCTTTGTGAAATATTTGTTATTTTGGCTGCAATAACTTTAAACTTTGGACTGGTCAGTGATGTTGTGAACTGATCTACAGATAAATAATCTAAAATTCTTTTGGGATTGATAAATTAAATTAAATTTAGCTGAATTAAAGTAATGCTCATATTGGTTGCTGTTAAATATTGTCTTGTCCATTTTATTTTTAATTGATTTATTCTAGACAAAGTTTGTGAATACAAGTTTAATTGGTGCTTTTTTTTTTTATCTGGATTTTTTTGTTGACTAAGCAACATGGTTTCGTTAAAGCAAACTAGAGATTTGGCCAAAACTTTGATACTGATGTGTTTAAATTCTAGTCACGCTAACTTCTCTTTAACTTGTGTTATTTCCCAGGGGTTGCCAGGAGCGATTTAATTAGTCAGTCATTCAATTCATTCATTCCTTTGAAACTGGTTTCATTTTTCCTCTTAAAGCCGTAACCGGAAGGTGACGTCATTGGGTCGGAACGTTAGGGACTTTCCGAGCCACAGTCCGTCTGCAGCTAAACTGGTGAGTCTTATCTAAAATGGAACAAGGCAGCTGGTGTGGTTTTGTTTTTCGTAATGGAGCCTTTACACACTGGCTACTTTGAATTAACCGTCCACTGAGACAGAACTATGAGTTGTGGAGTGGATTAAATCCTTGTTTTTATTAGCATTAGCGGAGGTTAGCTTTAGCGAGCTAGCGGCTGAAGAGCTACAAAAAGAACGTTTGAGTGATTTTTTTTTTTGCTGCGTCATTATTTTCTAATCAGATGTTGATTCAAAACAGATTCAGTTGGCATTTACTCATCCGTTGTGCTAGAAATGAAACACCACAACGCTGGCAAACGTTTGGTTAAAAAAAGAGAAAGTAACAATAAAGCTAATGTACCCGGAACAATTTTCAAACGAGAAGGCTTTAGAGGAAATTGAGACATTTTTTTTTCTTGCAATGTGGTTTTTTCCCCTTGCATAATGTAAAGGTCAAACAGGTGTTGTTAATCAAAATGTAGGCTTGGTATGAGAGGGAAACGGCGTCCCTTTGTTAAGCCGGGGATTTTCCACCCGTGTTTTTTTATACCGAGCTGTAATATACCGAGCTGTAATTACTTCTGTGGAGTCATTAACTAATTATTTCGAAATAATAAACTAGATTTTAATATGTATTTTACTCTTCTTTGATTCGTACACAACACAATTCTAACCTACCATCTTGTGTAACTAAAAAAAATCCCCCAATTAAAATATATGATCTCGTCTCATTAACATTCGCATTCATTTTTATACGTATAAAATTAATTAAAAAGTAGTTCGATCAGAATAAGCTACACATTGAGATCAACACCACACAGTATGATTCATTTCTAGGTAAAACAACCAAACTATATTGAGCTGATCATGGAAAGAGTCTTATAAATAGCACTGCGACACTTAATGCTGCATAACTAACTTGTTGAGATAGTAAATCATAAAGCCCAGTAAATAATGTACTGTCGATTTTGTTGGTGTGGATAAAATGCTCACTAAATATAAATTTCAGCAGGACATAACAGTGAATGGGAATAATTAGGACAAAAACAACATATCAAATGATCACTTCAAACTAAAAACAAATACAAACAAGCTGTGTAGAAAAACTGTAACCACTCCAAACTACTTGAGGAAATTCCAGTCCGCCACACTGAAAACTTTGTAGATTTGAAGGTGAACTGTTTAAAACTTGTTGGTATGTCCATTTGCCAAACATTGATAATTCAGTGTCAGACATTTGTGTCATATGCCATTGTTCAACTAAAACCGATAATTCAACATGATTAGGAATTTCAAATATGTTTTGTTTATCTCTCACCTTGTGTCTCTGCAGGTTCAACCAGAAAAACAACTCACAGGGGGAATTTCATTATCCTCTAAAGATTAAAAATATTTTTTAATTAGTTTTTTAGACTTCAATTATGGAAGCCTAGACACCCAGAAAAGGGATGCCCCAGATGGGGAGAGGGGTTTGAAAGCACATATTCCCAGGTCTGCATGTGTGCATGCTTGAGGTGTTTTTGTTTGTTGGTTTTTAATTTAATTTAATGTTTATCCTTAAGCTTACACAGAAGTTTCAAGGGTCCAATATGTCTGTGGTAAAGGTGGAGAACAGCAGGGTGTATACTGATCCTGGTTGATTTGTAATAGGATCAGACTCATAATAATAAAATTCAGGCTGGGTTTGATTCATTGCAGTGTTTTGTTTAATTGCGTATTTACTTACACTGTTTCTGAGAGGTTTTGCACTTGGGCTTTTGTGCTTCCTGTTAGCTACAGGTAAAAAAAAAAAAAAAAAGTAGAGGATATGAGCTGTTAAGTTTTATGCGTGACTTGCCTTCATTTTCACTCTTAAGTGTCCCGTCCTGTGGTTTATTTAGATGTAGTAGTGTTCTCAGTTTCTGTGTGTGTGAGACATGAGTGTGTGTATGTTTGAATGAAAAATGACCTTGGGTTTTTTTCAAACCCCTCTCCCTCAAAGGGACATCTCTTTTTTTTTTTCTTCTTACTATCAATATTTTTAAAAAATCCAAAAATGGAAACACTTCTTCAGCTAAAAAACAACCAGTTTTTGATGGGACTGTGTCGTAATGGGCCACCACCTGACCTACAATACGACAACTCTTCAGGTATTTTTAGACCTTTCCTTTGACACATTAACTCAAATTTATCTTCATTCGTTTCCTGCTGCTCTCCATCTAAAGTTAACGCTGTGCTGTTGTTTATTTCCCCCAGAGCTCTATCGCATATCTACTTTCGCCCGCTTCCCAGCTTCCCCTGTCACAGAGCGAAGCTTGGCGAGGGCGGGCTGGTTCTACACCGGCATGGGCGACCGAGTACAGTGCTTCAGGTGTAATGTGACGGCCGAGGGCTGGCAGGCTGGGGACTGTCCGACAGAGAAACACAGACAGCTCTCGCCTTCCTGCTCCTTCATTCAGAGCCTCCCATCCACCACCAACCTTCTCTCTTCCTCCCACTCTGCTTTCTCCCCACTTCGTATCGCCCCGGCTTTACCAGTAAGATCAAATTATCTACTCAA